GACATTTTGTTGCCGGTCAGGGATTCCTCCCCCACGGATCCACCTACGGCCCCGGCCACGGGGCATTCCTCCTCCATTTCCGCAGCCGCGGTCAGAGTGTGCAGACTCTGACAATAATATGCCGAGACCAGAACAAAATATATTTATCCATATTAAGGTGTGATAACAGACTATGAGGAGCAGCTCTAAATAAAATCCTAAGCCAATATTTAATTGCTATTAACCAGGCTTTGGTTTCTATCAGATGTTGACCAGTTTCTAAGCAAATTGTGAGATAGGAGACACAATTGGGTGCCCCCATAAGCTGACTCAAAAAGGTTGCTTGAATGCCCTCTACCATATAAAATTTGAGAAAGAGATTTCGCGTTGAATATTCTAATTGCTGCAGGTACATATCGGTTTCCTCTTGTAAAGTAAAATTGTTTAATCTGAGCAGCAAACAATTAGCCAGGTGGATTGTCTTATTGCGATCGGTGACCCAGGAAAGATGATAACTAAATGTAATGCCAAGATATTTGAAACTTTTGACTTGTTCGATTTCTGTGTTACCCATGAACCACCTCTGTGAGCACCATCTTTTGGCAAGCGTTATTACCTTCGATTTAGGATAATTGATAGTGAGTTGCGTTGACAATATATAAAATGCATCCAAGTATCATGTAAGAGAGAATTGTAGTATCGTCAGCATAAAGTAGTAATGGGGTGGGAAGGCCACCAAGCTCGTTAAATAAGTTATGACTTTTGGCAGTGTGGAATAACGGTCTCTCCATTTGCTGTTTTTTTCTAAATCTTACACAGATGAGGGATGTCGTAGGTGCTGCTACAGCGGGACAGTCGTACTATCGGAGCTGCATGGACAATACAGTGAAATATATGACTTTTTACAGAATTCCCCATTCGGTTCAGAACAGAGTCAAAACGTGGTATGAATATACTTGGCATTCCCAAGGCATGCTGGGTAAGCACCTTATCATTTCAAAGACAAAGGGTTTATTTGGTTATTCTCTGTTGGGTAGTTGCAATTATTGGTGGCCACAAGTGGAAGTAAAAAAGTCAACATGGTGGCCATGATGGCACCATTAAGTCCTGCCCATTTTTTACATGCATCGCAATGTTGCTGCCATCTTGTCTTTTTGACCCCTCCCTGGCAGACACTCCTTGTTGCAGCCTAAATATAGCATTAAATGCCTTTTAACCTTAAACGTGTGCATTTAAGCCAATGCTGAGAGCAATAATTGGAGGGGAGAGGAAGCCTTCTCCTTCCTCCTCCCTCTGCGGTCCGGCCAAACAGGCTCCTCTGGAGCTCCATTTTCCACTCAGGAAGGAAGTGCCTGCCAGTGGCAGGGACTGTCTCCTGTCCCATCAGCAGACCTGCAGTGATGGCTCTTGTCTGAGAACTTGTGCTTCCATATCCCAATTTTTTAGAAAACATGTTCACCTTGCCCGTTCTGTTCCCCCTGCACGGTTAGACCCACCGTTCCAGGCTGCCTTGTTATCCTCCGGTGTCACGGGATCCTGAGGAAGCTTTGCGGCTTAGAAGACTCATTGACCATCTTTTCCAACCATGGGGAGGGCTGGTTTGTTGTTTGTTTGTTTGTTTATTTATTAAATTTCTCCCTGCCCATCTCCCCCCAATGGGGGACTCTGGGCGGCTCACACAAAACATTAAAACCATAAGTATATATAAATACGTAAAACCTAAAAATTTAAACAAAACATTACTAAAAAAGGAGAAAGTCCAAGAAGATGATGGATCTAGAGGTGAAGACAGCAGGCCTCTGTGGGGCCAGCCATCCCCACGCTTGACGTATTCCCTCCACACCCCGGGCCAAGTGGCAGAACCAGGTTTGCTGCAGTGATTCCTGTAATCCCTGGCAGGATTTCTGTAATGGGGTGCTACCTTTGATAATGGTGCAGTGCAAAATTCTAGTAAGTTTTCTAAATTGTGACACTGAGAAAATACCCCAACCCTCCATTTTATTATTCACACTTAAGGGCCGTAGGGTTTAGGGCCCAAAGGGTCCTCAGAGAATCCATTCTCTGCTTTCTGTTCATCACCTGCGAAAGTGTTGCTGTTGCGGTTGTGGTTGTGCTGCAAGCTCAGAAGGCTCACACAGACGCTTTGTAGGCCCAAGCTGAAAACATTGTATTTGCACAAGCTGGAGAAATACTTCCTGTCCCTTCTGGTTTTCCTGTGTTACCTTTTTATCCCGTTTTATTGTAGTGAACGTCCAGTATACTATATGACATTCAATTCTCCTTGGGGTGAAAATGTTACTCAAAATAATAATTTAAGGCAATAATACAGAGATGCATTTAGTGTCAGGTCTTGCTTGACCTCCCATGCTCCCTAAATTGGGAGAGCATTTTGAATGTGTTGTCAGAAGGGGGAAATGGATATCCAGACTTTGTCTCCCTCTACCCAGTCTGCACTGATAATCTTGCAGCCCTTCGCTAGAGAAAAAGGCCGTAGTCAGACAGCGTGACTGGGCCCTGGGCACCGTCCCCAGGCTGCTGTCCTTACACGTGACAGCCCACTGCCAGCATTCCCCCACGGTGGGAGCTTCTGGAAGCAAAAAGACCCACAGACCCCTGAGAACGCTTCTGATCACGGGGAGGCTTTTAGTCACATGCAAGCAAACGCAAGTAGGAACTCTGTGTAAACCCACCTGCTCAGGATGGGGGATTCAGGGATGGTGGATCCATAACTGACATCTCGGCCCAGTTCTCTTCTGTTGCAACACGAGGCCAGAACACAGCTGAAGACGTGCTGCTCTCTCCTTCGCTACAGATGAATCAGAGCTGCTGACGCAGCTGCCCGAAAAGATGAAGCTGGACATTGCAATTGATGTTAACTACAACATTGTGAGCAAGGTGCCACTCTTTCAGGTACTGCCAGCTGACTCAGGGCTCCACTTACTTAACCTTAGCCAAAAGAGCAGAATGCAAGCAATTCTTTCCTTCCTTCGATTCAGGGCTGTGACCGGCAAATGATTTTTGACATGCTGAAGAGGCTGAGATCCGTGGTGTACTTGCCTAACGACTATGTGTGCAAAAAGGTAAGCAGCAGTGAAATGTTGCACCGCAATTGTCAAACTGGTGAGGGAGGTTCACAGGCATATACGATGCTCATCATATGCTCCCTGCGTTATGCATTTTTTTATTATGCCACTGAAACCAATGCAAAGATGGTTCTGAGATTTCTCTAGGGTGTTTGTTCTTAAGTGGCGGGGGGGGGGCGTCAGTGGCAACAGAGCTGCTTGGTTGTGGTAGCCAAATCTAGTTGGCCATCATCACAGTCATTACAGTTATTAGATATCAGGGAAAGTTACGTTCAAGCCAGTGAACTAAAATAATGGCAAAGCGGAAGCAGCAGAGCTCAAAAAAATGCACAAAAGTTTTGGAGGAAGATCTTGATTTCTTTAAAAGGGAATTCATGTGTGCCTTTTCCTCTGAAAACCAGAAGTCACCAATAAAAATAGGACAAAAAACATCCAATGGAGGATTATCTGCAAATATACATATATTGGACATTATTCATTTTCCTGGTCATTATTTGTCATTTAGCGTTGCTGACCTTAAGCTCACCTTGATCACAAGAACAAAGGGATGGCAAAATAGCCCTTTTCCTTGCATTTCTCAGCTCTCTAAATCTCAGGGCCAGACAAGGGTTTAACCTGCAAACTTTCCTCTAGGGCCAGCTAGGGTAGCCTCTCCAGGGCCTGCACTGGGAAGGGTGGGAGCTCAGCCCTTTCCCTTAAAACCTCACCTTCTCTTTAACCCTTAAGCTGCTGGGAGACAGCCTCAGCAAGGGCTCTGATAACTCTTCCCTTGCTAAAACGTCGACCTCTGTGGGATTTCCACTTTGTAACTGCAGGATGTAACTTTCTAGGATACACAAGTCTTAAATTGGGTCAGATTTTCAAGAGAAAAAGGTGCCCCAATTCTTCCATTTGAAGCCCTCTTTAAGAACTATCTTAAGTTCAGCCAACCAACACTAAGGAATCCTGAACAAAAGGATCCACAGGGACAAAATTGCTCAGATCCACTTTTTCCTTGATTTTGCTTCAGGGGGAAATTGGCCGAGAGATGTACATCATTCAAGTAGGACAAGTTCAAGTGCTTGGAGGACCGGATGGGAAAACTGTGCTTGTGACCCTGAAAGCTGGGTCTGTGTTTGGAGAAATAAGGTCAGGCCAACACCACAATGTGTTCATTTCCTTATTTGTTGCATTTGTATTCTGCCTTTTCTCTGAGAGCTCAGTGTAGTTTCTGTATGGATGTCCCCTAATTGGACAACCCCTCTCACAGCCACAAGCAAGTGAGGTAGGTTGGGCTGAAAAAGGGTGACTGGCCTGGGTCAGCCAGGAAGAACTGTCATCTTCTGGATTTCCCCTGTCCAATTCCAACATCTAAGCCATGAAACTAGCAGGACTTCAGTTCGCCATGGCACTCACCAGAAGTCGCTTTGGGCATCTCATCTTGACGATGGCCACATATTTTATGTGAGCTATCCTTGAAAGGTGCCCTGAAGTTACAATAACCAGCTTACAGGAACATGTGATGCTGTTTCCTGGTGGCTTTCCAGGCAAAACGTGAGGCATTGTACTGACCTTTAAAGCCGACCTGTAGCAGCTTATGACCTGACTCTTGGAGGAACTGCCTCTCCTGCTGACCCTCAGATCGCCAGAGGAGCCTTTCTGAAGACAGTTGTGCCACGGGCCGGAGGCTCATCTCCCTGGTGTGCAAGAGGGGCCTTGCTCTGCGGCTCCCTAGCTGTGCAACGCTCTCCCTGGGGAAGTGCACTTAGCCCCTTATTGCCAGCATTTAGAAAAATACAAAGACACATGCTTTCACTCAGCCTTTAATAGTTAATCTTAACTTTGCATATTTTAGTTTCATTTAAAGATTTTTAAACTTGTTAGCTGCCTTGAGTGCTTATACAAGTAGAAAGGTGTGTTATAAACCTAATAAAAGAATACTAGAACAGTGCTGCACTGACTCTCAATTGTGCCTGGAGGAAACTGGGCTTGGTAGCTGGAATAAACACAGAGAAATTTAGAAAAATGAAGTCTTGCCATGGCTGTTCTTAGATATTAGGTAAAATAGCCTTTATTAGCCTGGTTGAATGACTCTCAAGTAGAAAAAAGGCTTAACCATGGCTGAGAAGAGTTTTGACAGCAAAGACCCTAAGATTTTGGTTAAGCTTCTCAGTCCCATTTTTTCCCACACAACCCAGGGTGGTTCTTGCCCAGTTCCTGCTCAGGTTATCTTGAGGCTGATTTACCTGGGCATTGTGGCCTGGCACTGTAATAATAGCCTTATACCTGGAACATACAACTCCTGACAAAATTTGAATCCCCCCTCTCCAACAACTGCTGGGTGTTACAGACAATTTCAGCTTCTTAGTGCAACGAAGTATAATGTAGCTACTGAGCTCCCAGTTGTACTTCTGGGATCTTGCTAGGGGACAGTGCAGACTGCTGAGACAAGCAGAAAAAAAGGGGGAACTTTCCACTGGCATTGAGATACTGACTAGATCCAGTTCTCTGATTAGACCCAGATGTAGAATTCACTAGAAAATGTGTGAAGTACCAAGGGGTGGAAGTGGAGTCCCAGAACTTTGCTTGTGCCACAGGATTAGTAAAGATTGGTAAAGATTGATTTTTTTTAAAACAATCTATAGAACTGTTGCATGGATTAAAGCTACTTTAGCTTTTATTAAAGCACCTTCAGACAGAAAATTAAACAGCAGGGCAACTGGAGGAGTGACTTCAAGTCCTTTGCTCACTGTTCTCCCACAGCTACAAAGGGTGGGCTTCATGCTTCTGTTCTAAAACACATCAGCTGTTGCATGGCATGTTTCTCATGTGGCTACTGAAGAGCAGTTTCATTTTGGAAAGCTTCAACAACTATAGTCTCACCCACAGTAGGGTCCCAGTCTCGTGTCCATCCTGTCCACTGCTTGCTGCTTCAGGGCAGGCCACATACAAGTGGCAGCCAGGAAGACGTCCCTCAATAAGCTGGGGAGAGATAACCATGTGATAAGCCAGAATACCCACCAAGTGCAGGTTTGAATGTCCTGAGAGCACAAGCACAGACACGCTCTAAACAAGTCCCTTATCCAGGCAAGCAGCAAAGAGGAGACAAGGAGCATGCCAGTCCACTCCAGTCACTCTGGCCAATTAGCCAACTTGATTGCCCAACCAGTAGGAGTCATGGCCAGCAAAGCCCTACCTTCACCTTGCCAACAGACTTTGAGGAGTTTGGGTTTTCTGGGATACAAAAAGAGGAGGAGAATCTTCCTATCCTGGAAGTGGCTTCAGATCACTGGCGATTGCCACCACTGCTATGGAGAACACCAAATATACAATGCAGAACACAAAAAGCAAATGTTATTTTGACAACAACCCCAACTTTTCCATATCTTTATCATGGCAACACAGGTCAGTTGAGCTGGTAGGAAGAGAATGAAATCTAGTTTGGTTCCGTATATGGTTTCATATTATTATGGTTCTTCAAGTCAGCCTTGACTCAGCCTGGTGATTACATGGACAGGCCCAAACAGTTTTCTTGGCAACCTTTTCACAAGTGGTTTGTCAGAACCTTTGTCCATGATGTTCTTCCGAGTCCAGGACTCAGAGGGAATAATTGGCCCCAAATCACCCAGCTGATTCTGTGTCTAAGGGAGGACTAGAGCTCAGGTCTCTCTACTCTTAGTCCAGCATCTTTAACTATGACACCAGATTGCAATAACACCATATACTGAACTGCAATTTAATATATGGTTTTGTTTGGTTGCAATGTTTTTGAACAGCTGAACTGAAGCAACGTTTGGATTACTGAATCTTAAATTTCAGTTGTTAATATTTGGTTGGAAGATATTGGGGAGGTTGCTGCCCCTTCCTGTGGAATAAGAGATGAAAAGTTAGGTGTTGAGTTTGTATTTTTGCTGTTTCCATTAGTTTACTGGCTGTGGGAGGTGGAAATCGGCGTACCGCTAACGTTGTGGCTCATGGATTTACTAACCTTTTCATTCTGGATAAGAAGGATTTGAATGAAATTCTGGTGCACTATCCAGAGTCCCAAAAGCTGCTGCGGAAGAAAGCCAGGTGAGATGCAGGATGATCGAGGGTTTGTACTTGATTGTTGTATTTATTGTAATTAATCAATTTACTCTCACTTTTATGCCATGCCAATCAGACCACCTCCAAGAGGCTTAGGGTTAATGTTAGCTGATGTGCGATGGGACTAATTTTTCCCGAGGCCATGTCTTTTGTCAGGATCAGTAGCTGGTGAAACATGTCTTCTTCTGCCTGCTGGTCTTTTTCTTTTCTTTCTTTTCATTGGGTTGAGATCCCTGCAAGTCTGCCATAAGAACAAGTCTCCTTTGTCCTCCTGGGGTAACTTGCTTGGCCTGGAATAGGTGGCTCTGCTCCTCGGGACTCTGTTTTAACTCTCAGTCCAGATTATAGAAATTCAGCCCTTAAGGTTTTATTTTGTTCCCCATGCGTGCCGTGAAACAAGGCAAATTTGGAGGGAAGGGTTCTCTGCTGGTCAGGTGATCCCTACTAGTCTGGGAGAGGGCTAATCAATGAAACTTAATCCAAGGAAGATGTTCATTCTGTTGGTATGTAATCTCTGGAAGGGGGTTCAACATATGCATGGCAGTGAATGACTCACCTTTATGAGTCAGGTTTACAGTTTGACAGTGCTATTAGAGATGGCCTTTATGATGGATGTTCCCGTCTGGTGAGACAATGTGTATTTCATCAGTTTAGATGGTGCTCAAATTATGTTCTCTTCTGATTATCCATGTTTTCGGATACCTTTATTTCCCCACTTTCATGGAATTAGGGAGGCTGCTCTTGATTGGCACAATTTTATGGACTACAACAGCTTCCATATGAGGTTTAATTGTATAACTCTTTGCCCCAAGAGTTTTAGGAGAGAAAAAGACTTTTCTTCTATTTGTAATCTTCCTATGTTTTCCCACTGCAGATGGAATAACTGCACAATTTCTTGCATTAATGGAGCTGCCTGGGGCAGCCAACCTTCTGGAAGGGCCTAGCCTCCTACTTGTTACTTTAAAAGGAAACTTAAAACAAGTGTAAACACAACTTTTAGAAGAGGAGCCACTGAATGAAGAATAGAAGGGCCATCATACGAGTTCACACACAGTCATTCTATTGCACTCACACATGCTGTTTATTCTTAAAGATCTGACTGATTTCCAATCCTGTTGTTATATTCTCTGTTCTAGGAGAATGCTGAAAAGCAATAGCAAGCCCAAAGATGAAAAAGGGATGCCCAAAGATGTCCTCATCATTCCTCCAAGAGCTGGGACACCAAAGCTCTTCCAAGCTGCCCTGGTAGCTGCAGGAAGAATGGGAGGCAGGGGGAGACTGGCTCACATCCGCTGGAAACTGAAGGAGCTGAAGGCGATGCAGGTTATCTCTGAAAGCTAAAGGCCTGGCAAGAGGGGAGCATGTTGTAAATCTGCCTGTGGTGGGCAGGATGGGATGGGCATGAAACAGTAATTTATAAAACCATGGTTTATGGCTTAAACATTATGTGAACCCAGACCAGGATGGCAAAACTGGCTTAAGGCATTCTGGAGGAAATTATAGTTGACCCTCGAATGGGTAGTTTCATGAATGAGATAAGGAGAAGGAAAGCCCCACAATTTTGGGGTGGGTGTATGTATTTGGAATGCTGAGACCATGTCATAGGGGTTCTCACAAAACAGCTGAGCATGGCCAGTCCCAAAATAACCATTGACCAGGAAGATGCTCCTGAGGATACAAATTCTTCACCTTTACTCCTGGCCATTAAGATGTATTCTACCACCTTAGTTCTCTTTTATTGTTTTTCTGAGCACATCTTTTCCAGGCCTTGGCTGAAGTCAATCTTACATTCTAAGAATACTTCTGCCATTCATTGGACATTTTGCTCTGCAGCATGCCAGCTCCCTTGTCAATCTTTCTTTTAATTAAAGGAATCTAAAGCAAATTCAAAAATCATGAGCAGGGAGCCAAATGAGCAAAATATCTTGGCACATTCATGCCCATATTCATCACCCTGGGGGCCCTAGACCTAGAAGAATGGATTCCAGATCTAGGATGCGGCTCCCTTGCCGGTCTTGAGGCAAGCATCTTTTTCCTACCAAGAGTAAGCAGAGTGTCTTATATGACTCTCAACCTGATTAACTTCTTTTTCAGGCTGCCAGTTCCACACCAGTTATCCCTAAATCACCAGCTAGCCATACTTCACCAGCTGGTTCTCCCAAACCTGATGACTGCAGAACTGAGAAGATTATCTCCAAGGGTCCTGACAATCCTGTTCAGGTTTCCATGAGTCCAACTCCTAAGGGGGATGAACAGGTTCTCTTGGTGGAAGTTTTAGAAAAGGATGAAACCAAGTAGAAGAACTGAATGAGCCTCCATATCTGTGGAAACTGCAGCTCAAGAAGGGCTCCTTGCTTGTAATGGATCGTATTTGTTTGGATTGTTAACCATTCAAAATATAGTCTCTAATGTTGCACTATTAAGAAAAAAGTTGACTGCAACCCAGTGTCTGCAATAAGGGACCTCTAGAATTTTTTACACACCAAGCAGTTTAACTGAGTCTTTAAAACAATTGCAGCAGAAATCCAAGAGAAATTTAGAACAATTGAAATTTGTATTAAGTAATATTGGCTTTTTAAAGATTCTCAATACAATAAATATTTTGATTTGCTTAAAATAGCCATAGTTTATTCTGTTGGCATGGTCTTTTAATACAAGGCATAGTACAAGGTGAGGTAGGAGTGCAAAAAAAAAAA